TTAAAATATTAAAAAATAAAAAGCATCATAACCGGAAGAAATTTATAAGAAATTATCAATCGTGCAATAAAAATTTTAATATAAGTATACAATCACCACTCTTGTAGCGAAACATATCTTTCGATCATAGACAACGCGCGCCACACATTATAAACTAAAAATATTAATACATATATACACACATATACTATTTACTTTTAGACACTATATGTAGGAATTAAAATTAATCAATTATCTCCAACATTCAACCCTTCTTCTTACAACATCTCTAGCCTCTTCTGGTGATAGATGATAAATACTCAAATTTTCAAGCACTTTATGTACTTCGGTAATTTCTAAATCATTATCAAATAAAACACGCATAATTTGGCTCAGTGTTTTTTGTTGAGCAGAGTTATTTTGTTTAGCAGCGGATGTCGTCTGATGAGACGAAGGTATAGTAAGAAGAACGCAAACGTCTTTTAATCTAATGGTGGAAAAAAAATAATAAACCAGACAAAATAGCTTAGAATACATAAAAATAAAAATGATAATTTCTTTAATCATGTTTACTAGAATTAATCTACGACTTCATACCTCCTAAAATAATTTTCTGGTTTCTGAACCCATCTTTTTCCAACTGTGAATAATCCTTTAATCATATCTACTTCAAATTGCCTGCCACCCATCTCAGAAAACTGATTTCTCATTAATACTCGATTCCACAAATAATCCTCTATTTCTTTAGATATTTCTTTGAAAATAGATTTAAATACTCTTATAGGCAAGTGGTTGGATAGAAACGTGAGAGAATGTGCCAAATCTGACAATGGTGTATAAAGCTCCGGTGATAATTCAATTTCTATATTGACGTTATTATCTTTTGAAGTTGCAGTTGTCTCTGGTTGTTTGCACAATGGTTGGTGGGATATTATAGTAGGATCAATGTTGTAAATGTCAGATCGTGACCAAGTATTTCTGAATAACAACAATTCTCAATTAATGAAGACGATTCATTTTCAGTAACTTAAAATCTCGAAGATAGCTTACTTTCTGCAATATGCTTTCAATCCATTAAAGAATCCTTTGGATACATTTTTTATTATTAATGATTGAATTTTTTCACAAGAACTATCAAATGATCCTGCGGGATCATCAAAAACTGTTCCCTCGTCAACGGTAATCTGCTCTTCTTGATACACAGATGATGTCTCTTGTAGTTGATCAGAACTTTCGGATGAGGTAGGTGATGGCAAGGGTGAAGTACTGGTATTACGAGATGCACGTAAAGTGACTTCATGCCATAGTTCAAGGAAAAACTATATTGTGATTTCAAATTCATCAAATGAATTAAGACATGAATTACGAACATAAGAAAAAAAAAAAATCCTTAAAAATTTCTTACAGCATCTTCACCCCATTCTTTAATTGTTCGACTAACAAAGCCGGCACTATTAAGCCATCGACATAATCTTTTTAAATCTTCAATTCCAGTATGTGATTTTCCATCCGAATTTGCAGAATTTGGAACAGATCTTACAAAAGAGTAACTCAAACTTTTTTCAAATGCATCCACTGAAGAATCAATTCTTTGAGCGTATGCCATTAACAACTCTGCTTGAATATCAGCAAAAAAACGAATACGATTATGAAACATGGGTAACAATTTATAACGACCTAATAATTATTATTAGTTTCAAATATGAAGATTTATAAATAAAAAATCAAATAATTATAAAATAATAATTATAAATTTATTCATACTTGTAATTAACTACAAAATATCTGTCATAATCTTTACTGTTTCGGAAAAAGACAAATGCTCCTCAGCTTCATCAGTCTTGACAGTTTC